CCTCTGGTGAAAGGATTGCCTAAAGTCACACAGCTCGTGAGTGGCAGAGGGATTGAGCTCAGGTCTTGGGTTCTGAAGTTCACATTCCTAACCAATAGCCAATGGCCTTATGACGCTGAAGTCTACAGCACCCCCAGAGGGCACCCAGAGGGTGGTGGGTGTGGCTTGGTGGAGGGAAGAGAAACTGCGGAAGACTTCCTGGAGGAGGAGGCACTTGGCTGAAGGTTGCAGCCGGGGAGGTCTACTGTGGGGACAGTGAGGGCCTTCGCACAGGAGAGGCTGATGAGCTGCCAAAGGCGTGGAAATAAATCCGTGAGCTGGTTCTAAGAGTCGGACACTGTGGGCTCAGTCCTGGTTCTGCTAAGTTGTGGTTCATCTATAAAATGGAGAGATTCATGCCTAGTGCCGGCGCATGAAAAAGGTTAACAGTTATTACACTACATGACAACGCGCGCTAGGAGAGCCCATTATCAACGAAAGGAACCATTTGGATGGCTCCCACTGGTTACCTCTGGGTTGCCAGACTTGGTTCTGAGGTGGGCGGCACCGCAAGCTCACAGAGCAGTCTTCTTCAAGGGGCCAGGACAAAAACAAACCAGAAAAATCCCCCGACGCAAACGCACTGCCACCGAGTCCTTTCCGACTCATCGCAACCCTTTGGGCGGGATAGAACTGCCCCTCTGGGTTCCAAGATTGTAATTCCCTACAGGCGGAGAAAACCTCTGCACTCTGCCGGGGAGGACTGGTGGCTTCCAACTGCTGACCCTGGGGTTAGCAGCCCAGAGCGTAACCCACTGTACCACCACCAAGAAAACCAACCGCCCTGCCATCAGACGATGCCCACTCCGAGCGACTCTGCAGGACGGGGTAGAACTGCTCCTGTGAGTTTCCCAGCTCAAACTTGGCACAGAAGTCGAGAGCCCATGTTTCTCCCCCAGGAGGAGCGGCTGGTGGTTTGGAACTGCCACTAGTTAGCAGCCGCTCGGGATCAGCAGGGCTCCTCAAAGGGCAGCACTTAATTTGCAAGTCCTACCGGAAGCCCCCAGTGTCTCCCCCAGGACTCTCCGGTACCAGTGGCCCTGACCTGGCAGTCCACAGGCATCTCTGGCTGGCCCCCTGCAGGAGCCACATTGATTCAGATGCTCGGGATGGGCGCCCTGCTGTCTGAAGCCTTGCCACACACTGCTCAAAAGGCAGGGACCATGTGGGTGAGGAGCCTCCACCCACCTGCATTCCGTGACTCGGATGGGGAGCTACTGGGTTTGGGTGGGTTGGGGTGCGTGCCATGGTGTTTTAACGTTCCACGCACCGCAGGGTGGGCACGAGAAGAGGTGTGGGGAGAGCCCGGCTGGTGCCGGGCACGTGTGGGAGGATAACCGCGGGGACAGCCTCGCCTTTGAAGGCAGCATGGGGAGGACAGCCAACCAGGGCCCCCCCCCTTCCCCATCATGAAGTTGCCCTGAGGCAGCACCCGGATCAGATGGAAGGCCTGTTTTGCTTTCTGCTTGCCTTGCCTGCGGCTGACAAGCCAACAGGAGATGGAGGGACTTGGGGTCCCGCTGGAAGCAGGTCCGCCTCTGGATCCCGAAGCGTTAGCTGGCGAAACCCTTTACCCACCCGTTCGCTTGCATCCCACACCTTTGCTGGGCTTGCTCTCGCAGGATTAATTACAGGGACAAGCATCTTTCTAAGAAAGCAGAGCAAACTTCTAATGAATTGAAGGCAAGAGAAAAATTCTACTGTGAAGCAACACGTTTTCCCCACGATCCCAACATGAGCGTTCAGGGAAGCGCAGAGACTGTGCATTACCGAGCAGCCTTTGAAAGGAGGACTTGTGCGGATGAACAGAGGCTACCCGCACCGTGCGCACCAGGGCCTGCAGCTGGGCCCCACGGTGTGGTGGGCACTGGGGGGAAGTTGGAGGCACCGGAAGAGAATGCTTGGGTGACAGGTGAAGAAGGGAGGGAGGCCCACTCTCGTATTTCACTCCTGTCACAGGATGGATCTGGGCCTTTGGGGGCCTTTCTGTGGCTACTGATGGACTGAGACAGAGGGCTAAGAAGCCACGCCCACCCTCATGCCCGTGGTCCCTCCGCCTGGGGCCTGCCTGTTCTTCAGAGCTAGGGTGGGAATCGGGGTGGGGGTTTGCCCAGCATGGGCTCTCTCTAGCCTCACGACTCCTGGCCTTGCCCTTAGCTGGCTTTAAGACTGTAGCAAACACCAGGCTAGTGGGCTGGCCAGCTGCAGGTGAAGCCAGAATTTGGGAAGACTCCCGCGCCCTGCTTCTCTGAGGGAAAATGTCCCCAAACCCATTCCTTAATTGAGCACTCCAATCTACTGCTGAGCTTGGGGTCCCACCACGGACCCACATGATCTCGAACCCAAGGACTCGGGTGAAAATAAGAGACTAGCAAATCTAGCCTTACTGTCTCGATTTCAGCCGGCTGGTCTGTTCCAGCCTTAAAAAAAAAAAAAAAGAAATGCAAAATGTTGTTGTGGAAATGTGTGAGCTGTTCCTTTCCGGGCTTTGGAAAGTGTCCTTTAATGCCCATCGATTGCTGGATAATATGTTGTACCTATATGTCTCATTTCAATTACCTATTTAAAATTCACTGAACCATAAATCTATTTCCCGAGCTAGGGGAACTGCGTTGAGAGTTCTAGCGACTTTGAAAAACCATTGATCCTCCAGTGCTCCGAGTGGCTGCATGTCAAGCCTTTATAGCTGGGTTAACGGATTCTGTGGCTTCCTTAATGGCCACGAGTTTACATTTTATTGCATATCTATTATGTGGGCTGGGCTGTGAAGAATGGTTTGGCTGCCCAGTTCAAAACAAGTCCAAGGCGACAGCAGAATCCAATTTGCCTTAAAAATGATCATCATGAAGCTTTTCGAATAAGAACCAGGAATGAAGGAAGCAGGTATCACATTGCCCACATGAAAGATATGGCTGGAGGTGAAGCGGTGGCGTCCTGCCTTTCCCACGGAACTTGTGGTTATAATGACCTTCATTAGGGAAGCCAGTGAGGCCTTCTCTTTCATTATGGGCAACAGCGATGCTTCTGTTTCCTTGAGAGTAAAGCCAATAGCTCCCTCTTTGGCCCGAGACCGATGGATGGGAATCAATTATTCTTGCTGTTTCTCTGGCTTGGACAGCTCTCCCTCAATCTGCCGCCCTCCCTGCTCTCTTCTTGTTCACACCCTTTGGGATTAGAGCTGTCCCAGGGTCCCCATTTGTGGGAGGGGGATGCAGGGGACAGTGCAGGGAGAGGAGACTGAGGATAGGAGAGAGGACCAGTGGTGTGTTGGCCCAAGTATAACAGGTAGCTCTCTGGACAAACGTTCTGTTGTGATCGCTCTGCATGGTGTGAATGGTTGTGTTGTCAAGTCTTCCCATTTAGCCTTAGTGTGCTACCCACTACTTACATTGGGCTACTAACTGAAAGGCCAGCAGTTCGAATCTACCAGCTGTTGCATAGCAGAAAGATGACATTTTCTGCTCCAGTAAAGACTTAAAGCCTTGGAAACACATAGGGGGCAGTTCTACTCTGTCCTGCGGGCTAAGGGTTGATGGCAGTGAGCTTCAGATGATTGACAACTGCCTTGCAAAAGTTCAGAAGATTTCCCTATTGGCTTTCACGAGCCGAGTCTAGGGATCTGTTGATACTTCCACATATTCCAAAATGTGGAAACCAATTCCAGGGAGCAAGCTCCTTGATCCACCAAGCAACCACCACCTCCAGTTGGTTAAGCCTACCTGTCATCCACGACTTACTATGAACTACTGTCAGCAGATGTGAGGTTTAATGGCGGAGGGCAGGAGGATGATGAAGGACCAGGCATGGTCACAGAATATCAGGCAAAGCCTTGCGGCTAATAGTTGGACTGGGGTCCTCAGCAGTAGACTTTGCACTGGAAAGGCCACGCTGTGTCAAGCTCACAGACACTCCTCCTGGGGACGAGTCAGGCTAGCTTCTCCCCTCTGGTGTCATACAAGTGCTGCTTCTAGTCGCCACAAGAGCCCCTCTTACCAACAAGCCTCGGGGCTCCCTCTCAGGGCTTGTGAATGCTTGGAATCACAACCCAAGGCAAGGTCAATGTGAAGCAGAAAGACCTTTCTGGAAAATGCAACCCTTGGTTGGGGAGAGAGAGGAGGATGCCAGGACATGGGGTGCAGATGCTCAATGCCCCATGGCACGTCTTACACCTACCTCTCAAATTCCAGACCCTAAAGTTCGATGCTCTGAACTTGCAAGGCACACCTAAGGGCATGCTACATGGGGCCTGCGTATCCCCTGCTGTGTCCAGAGCCTGAATGCTGACACCCCAAGAAGGTGTTTTAGTTCGCTGTGGCCAAGAATGACCCCTCCAGCCCCAAGTTGGGGCATGACACTGCCCCTGTCACCCCTCCCTGCTGATGCCTGTTGGCGCCATTTCTCATCTCTAGGGACACTTGTCCCACCTCTGTCTAGGCAAGGTCCCTCAAGGGACAGACCTAGGTCTGAGGACAGCCTACCTACTCCTGGACGCGCCTCCTGGGGACCCTAGAGGGCCTCCTCTGTTTTCAGGTTGCAGATCTATTTTTTGTTTTTCTCTAGGATTCTCCAATTTCTGCTCAACTCGTCCCTGCCCAGTCAAGACCCTGGGTCCTTCCTGAGGACCTCCCCGCTATGGCCCGCCCACCTGCTTCCTCCCCCCTGGGCGGCCACGGAGCCCTCCACATGTCCGGCAGCCCCCTCATGGTCATGCTTGAGTTAGAGTCGGGGCTGCCTACACAGCCAGGAGCAGGACCTTTCTCAGAAAGGGAAGGGGGCACACACGTTTCCTGTCCCCCCATAGCGTCTCCTTTCCTCGCTTCTCAAAGACAGGCTTGTGGCAAAACCAAATCCAACCGCTTCCCCTCTGTAAGGAAACAACCGTGAGCAAACCGAGAGCACACTGCAGGCCCCGCCGCCTGCCATGGTCCCGGGGCTCAAGGCAGCCCCTGCGCCGGACTTACGGAAGGCGGTGTAGAACTCTCGGAGGGTCAGGGAGCCGTCACTGTTGTAGTCATCGAAGCGGAGGAGATCGCCCAGCGAGCACCCCAGGAGGTCCTCGTCCAGCTCCTGCTCCTGTGTCCCGTGCTGTGGGGCGAGGAGGGAGAATAAGGTCAGAGGCAGCAGGGAGCTCGGTGTCATGGACACAGCTGGAAAATCTTGCTAGGCAAGGCTGTGGTCACAGAGGAGAAAACTGAGGTCTGAGAGGGAGAAGGACGTCCGCCAAGGTCACACAGTGGCTAGGATAGCGCCTGAGTGAGTGCTCGGGGCTGTCTTCTCTTACCTGAGCAGAATGCAGACAGCCTAAGCTAGGAGCAATCCCGAGGCTACCTGGTCGACCCCTTTGTGCTACAGATGGGGCAACAGAGAGGGGGTTTGAACATACGCGCCGTCAGCAGAGGCTGGAATCAAGTGGGGCACTGAGACTGCTGGGCTCCCAGCTGCAGGGTGCCCATTAATGCCACACGGCTCCCCCTGGTGGCACACCAGCTCTCACTAATCTCAGGTGGTGACGCCTAGCCACAGCTCACCCCAGAGAGGGCAGCTGCCTCTATCCCATCCCAGGCCCAAGCTCCATATTGCTGCTGCCCTGTTCTCGCAGAGACACACATGCCGGTCCTGGGGAATTGGACAGGGGGCCACGAGTGGTTTGTGAAGACTCCTACGATCATGGGAGGAGCCCCCGGGGAACAGAGAGCTGCCCAGCATGACCCCACATGCCCAAAGGTGCCTGCTGCTGTTGGTAGCTCCACTGTCATAGCAACCCAGGGACAACAGGGTGAAGCCCTCCCTGGAGAGTCTCCTCTTTGTCACTGACTCCCTCGGTCACCGAGCATGATGACCTTGGCCGGGTCTGGGACTGGGACTGGTCTCCCCTGATCACATGCTCAAAAGTTCCCCTGCCTTGCTTCTGTGAAGCATTCTGGCTCTACTTCTTCCCACTTGGATGCTGTTCTCCCGGCATGCCACGGGACTTTCATGCTTCATCAAGCAACATTCAAAGGCTCCTCTTCTTTAGCATTCCTTATTCACCGTCCAGCTTTTGCATGCCGCTGAGGCAACTGAAAAGACCATGGCTTGGATCAGGTGCAACCGAGCCCTCAACATGACCTCTTGGCTCTTTAACCTTTCAGAAGAGGTCTTTGCAGCAGATTTGCCCAGTGTAATACGGCATTGGATTTCATTTTCAACAGCTTTATCGACAGTTCATCTACATAACAGACAATCCAGTAGTTCAATCACGTCACAAAGAGTTGCACAATCACCACCACACCCATTTTGGAACATTTTTTTCTTCCTTGTACTCATCGTTATTAATGTAATTATTTTTTAAATTGTGGTAAAAATATACACAATGAAACATTCTCCAATTCAACCACTTCTACAAGTACAATTCAATGCCATTGATTATACTCTTCGTGCTGTGCAACCATTATTGATAACCTTTTCCAAATTATTCTACCACCATTAGCATAAACTCAATACCCCCTAAGTAACCACTCTTTCTCTTTCACCCATGGTAACCATTGGTCAAGTTAGATTTCTAATTTTTTTAAAATTTTAGTTTTCTTGATATAAAATTCAAATATACATTCCCAGAGTTGCTTTTAAAAAGAGTTGTATATACATCATCACAATCAGTTCTAGTGCTCCCTCCCCACTCCCGCACCCACTGTTTGCTCCCCAATTCCCCTCCCCCTCCCCACCCCTAGTCCTCCATACACCACTGCATCAGTTGTTGTCTCTATGCCTGTGTTGATTTTCTGCCTGCTGCTTCTAGGGGTGTTGATTATTGGTCCAAGTGAATCGAAATCCTTAATAACTTCAAACTTTTCTGAGTTTATCATGCTGCTTATTTCTGCTTCCTTGATGCTGAAGTGTACTTCGTGCTGCAGGCTGGGATTCTGTTCTTCACCAGTGAGCGCTTCTAGTCCCCGAGGCTGTTAGAAGATTGTACCATCTGTGTACCTCCGCTTGTTAGTGAGTCTCCGATCTGATGCTACACTCTTTTTCAGAGAGCACAGCTTCTTGGGTTACTTGCTCAGCATATAGGTTGAATAAGCTCGGTGAGAGGATACAATTCTTATTCCGCCCCCCCAGAAAATTATTTTAATAGTTACAAAACCTTTTTTCACAGAATCAGTATAAAATAGTAATTGATATCTCTGTAATTATCAGAATTACTCATGTTTGAGGTCTTGGCTTAGTGGGTCTGATATCAACAAAAGGCCTTGAACTGTTGGCTCAGAAATCACTCTAGGAAGCCCACCTTGTTGATGTCTGCCGTACTTCGCTCTCATGAGATGGCCCGGTCCTTTAAAAGACAGTTTCTCTCTTTCTCTGTTCATTCTTTGGAGGCTTGACGTGAATTCGGCAGTGTTCATTAAACACCTTCCAGCTCCTGTCATGTACTCCTTCTTCAACGTTCAGCTCTGACTGCATCCATTTCAACTTGGTCTGGTCTTTTCTAAGTTGCTTTAATAATGTTAAATCATCCACATTCTTTTCTTCTTGTAGGTTTCTTACTACTGCCGAGGTCTGAACCATACAGTTTTCATGACTCTGTCCTTACTGGGATGCGTTACCATCAACGATGCATAGAGTTGTTTACAGGTTGGCCGGCATCAATTTTCCCCTGCAAATAAAGCTGTTGGAACGGTAGGGTTTAATTCGCGTACTATTCTGTCCTCAATCGTCCTCATCGCCTTGAGTAATTCCTGGAACGCGGTGAACTCCTCACAGTTCACACCACCAATGGGCGCCACCACACTGGACAAGCTCAAGGCCTCCACAGTGGGCCAATCAGAGCAGATTAAAGGTGGCCACTTCACCTCCTGAGAATCAGTAGACTGAATGGGGATCAGCCGCAAATTTAGCAGAAATTTCTTTCCTGGTCCCCAGCCTCAGCGAGGCTTGCAATTCTGTGACCCCTTTTCTTTCCTTCTATCTTTTGGACATGCTGACTTGGAATTGATCGAGATCAAAGACCAAACTTGATGTACTACTGTAACAGTTTTTGAATGATCTTCAGCAAACTTTTGCTTGCCTGGGATAATAATGGCATGCTTTGATCACTTTTCCCCTTTGGAGTGGATGGCTGGGCACTTGTCTTTAAATGTCTACCACAGACAAATGAGCCCCGACGTGTGCCATCCACGCCTCACTTTTCACCAGTGCCTTCAGGGAGGCTGGGCCTCTCCCTCAGTACCATCAGTTCTGGAGCACATGCTCCCCCAGGCAAGGCTGGATGCTGATAGATTCTTTTTGGTACAGTGACTCTGCGGACCAGTTCCGCTTTCTTTTGATGTTTTCCGCACTAATATTTTGCCCATGTTGTTGCTGTTCCGCGCTGTCAGGTTTGCTTGGATCCAGAGTGACCCGATGGATAACAGAAGGAGCCACTGCCCAGTCCCGTGCCACACTCAGGATGCTTAGGTTTGAGCCCATCCTTGTAGCCACTGTGTCGATCCATCTTCTTCAGGGGCTTCCTGTCTTTTGTTGCTCTTCTCCTTTATCAAGCACGATGTCCTTTTCTAGGGATTTGTCTCTCCTAACGCGTCCTAAGTACGTGTGACAAAGTCTCATCATCTTGGCTTCTGAGGAACATCCTGGCTGTACTTTTTCCAAGACAAGTTTAATACTTGTACTGTTCTTCTCCAGCACCACAATTTAAAAGTGCCCATTCTTCTTTTGTCTTCCCTACTCAATGCCCCACGTTCACATGCCTCTGAGGTAATTGGAAATCACATGGCTTAGGTCAGGGCACCATAGTCCTCAAAGTGACATCTTTGCTCTTCAACGCTTGCAGAGCATTTTTCACAGATTTGCCCAATGCAATGCCTCCTTTGATTTCTTGACTGCTGCTTCTATGAGCATTGATGGTGGAACCAAGCAAGATGTTGCCTACAGAATCCTTCAACACTCTATGCGGCTTGATTTTGCCTTCAGTTCTTCAAGCTCGAGAAAGTGTGTCCTTCCCTTTTTCTACCTGCAGGTCTTTGCATGTTTCATTATAATACATTGTCTTCTCCAGCCGCCCTCGGACAGCTTTTGTTCAGCTCCTTCACGTCATCACTTCTTCCATTCCATTCCATTCCATTCGACATTCAAGTGCAAGTTTCAGAGTCTCTGCTGTCCCGGTTTTGATCTTCGCTTTCTTCCCTATCTTCCTAACGACCTTTTGGTTTCTGCATGCACCATATCCTTGGTGTCATTCCTCAACCAGTCTTGTCTTCTGTCACTACTGTTCGTTGATTCAAACCTGTCCTTGAGATGGTTTCTAAATCTAGGTGGGATAGATGCAAGGTTAAACTTGGACTCTCGAGGACTTGTAATATTTTTCAGCTTGAACTTCAACTTGCATACGTGTAGATGATGTTCTGTTCTGTAGTCAGACCCTGGTCTTGTTCTGACGGATGAGATTGAGCTTCCCCATCATCCCCAGGCTGTGACTGTGGTGGCACAAGGACTAAAGCACCTGACTACTAACCCAAAGGTAGGTGGTTGGAACCCATCAGCCACTCTGCAAGAGAAAGATGCGACTCTCTGCATCTGTAACGATTGACAGCCTCGGAAACCGTATCGAGGTGGGACTGTGGGGCACTCTCGGGCCAGCAGGAGTCACAGCTGACTTGACAGCAGTGGACTGGTTTTTCTGGGCTCTCCGTTCTTCAGTGTCCAGGTACATACACCTCATTCATGTGACTAATACATATATTTGTGGTGGATGAGTCGTGCCGTGCAGAATTCTATCATGTGATCGCCGGCATGCTATGTTCACCCGTTACTGATCCTTCTTCACTTCCAACTCTCAAATTCTAATCAACAGTACTTACCAACGCCTCTGGATTTCAGTTTGATTAACTTCGGACTGCAGAAGTTGGTAGAATTCTTCACTTTCTTCACCTCTGGTGTTAGTGATTGGTGTGTTAATTTTAATTACAGTCCTATTAACGGATCATCCTTACATAGGCTATTATTCTACTACTGATAGCACTGTGCTTGATAATTCTTGAAATGTCCTTTTCGATGATGAATGGAGCACCATTCCTCCAAAATTTGTCGCTCCTGATATAGTAAACCTTATGACTGTCTAGTTCCAAATAGCCATCACCAAGCCTAGGATATGGTTCTTTATACAGTCCATTTCCTTTCTGGTGACTTTTGATGTTTCTAGATCATACTTTGTACATTCTGCATTTTGACTGTCAGTGGACATTTGCAGCTGTTTCTTCTCAGCCGCCACACCAGCAATGGAAGGTGCTGAAGGTTTTGCTCTATCCGTGTTATTCGGGCCAACTCCACTATTTTGAGTTCCTTCCAACCTGCGAAGCTCTTCTTCCAATGTGACAGCAAACCGTGTTCTGCTGTTACTCGCAAGGGTTTCAATGGCCAGTTAGTTTAGAAGTAGATTGTCAGGCCCGTCTTCCTAGTCTGTCTTAGTCAGAAAGCTCTGCTGAACCCTGCCCACCACGGGCAGCTGCTGGCATTTGAAATACCAGTGGCACAGCTTCCAGGATCACAGGGACACGCGAAGCACCGCACTGCAACAAACCAACAGAAGGTGCCTCCAGGTAGAAACCGCGGTCATTCCCTCTCACCTGAAGCTGGTATGTAGGAAATGAGAGGCCTTGCCAGGAAAAGGCTCAGAGGAGGCCTCGGAAGAGAGGAAATGGTTTTATTTTTCAGGGAGGGGGACAGAGTCATTTTCTCTTTATTTAACATTCTCAGCATGGCTTGCTATGCTGAAGGCAGTTTAATGTGATGATGTTAAAAAAAATGACCCTTCACCCGACGCGTGAGCGTGCTCAATGAAAGGGAGATCAACCGTATCACCCCAGATCAATCCTCTGATGATGGGAATTTCCCTTTGTCTGCTTCTGCATTGGAAATTGATGTACTTTCCAGAGGACCAGCGCATTTCTCACGGTCCCCGTGAGGCCGTGTCAAGGAAAGGCTCGTTGTAGCCGTGCTGTTTGGCAGATTTATGAAATGGACTTCAAATACATTACATTTTAAAGAGGAAATCCGAGTCCAATTACCACACTTGTTAATGGCTTCAGGTGCCTCAGGGTGCATCTCTGCTAGGTGAGAACAACATGCCCAGAAAGGTTCTGTTTACCTGGCAACTACATGAGAGCTGCTTGGGCCTGCCAGGTGTGCCAAGAGCCCACAGATGCCTCTGTGCAGGGTTAAGCCCCAAGCTGCCTGCCCTGGGTGCCCTCTGTTGCAGCCTGTAGTGCAGAGAACTGGCAGGTTATTCTGGGAAACTGTTTTTCCCAGGGCACTTGGATCAATTTGGAGTCCTGCCCATCCCCTAGGGTCTTAGCTGTTGCCAGGAGCTACTTGCTGATGAAGGGATGGCATGCTGACAGGGTGGTGCCTGGGGCTGTGGACAGCAGGCCTCCCAGTATGGGTGAGCAGCATGGGATTTGTGATTCCCAGCATGCTCCTAGCAGCAGGCTCTGGCCCAGATGCTCCAGACTCAGACTTGGTGAGTTCCATCAGGCCCTGGGGTAGTGGTTACATAGTTGGCTGCTCAACACAAGGTCGGCAGTTCGAGACCACTGGAGGCTCAGAGGGAGAAAGATGAGGCTTTCTACTTCTGTTAAGAGTTACCGTCTCAGACACCCATTTGGGCAGTTCTACCTGGTCTTATAGGGTCCCGATGAGTTGGCATCAACTGGGTGGTGGTGAGTTTGCTTTTATCACATCCTCAACACTCAACACAACGTGGGCAAACAAGTTGCTCGACCTCTTGGAGCCTCAGTGTCTTCAGCTAAGAATATCTATGAAATGATGCTAACTTTATGACCTATGACACCGCAGAGGAAGGTTGAGAGGTCTAGAGAGAGAACCATCATGAGGATGACGACGACAGTACATCCCCACCATCAGATACTGAACAGCTCCAGGATGGTGCAAGCCGTTGACAGGCTGGCTGTTTGAGTCCTCCCAGAGGTACCTCAGACGACAGGCCCTGAGGATCTCCTACCCAAAATGCAGGCATGCAAAACCCTCTGGAGTGAGGTTTCCCTTGGACACGCTGGGGTCGCCATGAGTTGGAAGCAACTCGATGGTAACTGGTTGACTGGTTACCATTTACTTACCGGTGCTGGACACATTCCGCCATCCCCTGCCCCCCCACCCCACCCATGCGTCTTGGCTCATTGAACCCACACAGGGAAGCTGTGAGGCTCACAGATGCACAGATGGAGGCACAGGGAAGCAAGGCTATGCCCAATGCAGCCGGAGCCAGGACGTGAACTCACGAGTTGCATTCTCGGGCACTGTATCGCCAAGCAAAGGTCTGTTCTGGGTTTATGACTGCAGGTGGTCAAAGGGTGGGTCCTCCCCAAAGCTAGACCCATGAGCTGATCCCTGGGGCCTGTGGAGATGACCGTTTGGGGAAAGGGTCTTTGCAGATACAATTAAGCTAAAGATCTCCTGATGAGATGATGCTGGATCATCCTAAGGGCGCTGACAAGCCAATGACAGGGAACGCCTAGAGACAATGCAAGAGATGAGGAACATTCTCTCTTTGGAGGGAGTGGGGCTCCGAAGGTGCCTTTGATTTAAGACTTCTGCCCTCTGGACACGTGAGAGGACGCTTCTGCTCCTTCAAGCCCCACATTTCGTTACTGCCATCTTAAGGAATGAGTACCATTGCACCATGAGTAAGAGGCCTGGCAGAGTGCCAGGCACCACTAGTGACTCAATACATGGTGGGACTCTCCCACCCCACCCTTTCTTAATGACCTGGTCCTAGCCTCGATCAGGTGGTGGACACTCCCTCCTCTGCCTATGGAGCCTGACCTAGCCCTGCCTGCAGACCTGCACACCTGCTAGGAGCTGTTTGAGCCCCAGGTGCCCGGAGCCATCCGCAGAGCAGGAGCCATGATGCAGGCCTCTCGGCTATCTGAAGGGGTGGCCCAGTCTGACAGGACCCTCCCTGCACTGGTCTAAGGAGATCCCCAGGGACAAGGCTGCCCTTTCCCAGGGTCCTTTCTGTTGCTAGAGCTGACTGGCCTCCTCTGCTTGGGCCTGGACATAGGCATGCGTGCTGTGTCCCATCTGGCAGCCCTGGGAAGGAAGAATTCACTTCAGGGCGGAATACACCTCCATTTGGGAAAACTCTTAGGCCAGGCCTCTTAGTTTGCAAAATTAACATCTGAGTCTGCATGGGGAGTGAAAGGCAGCGTATTCCTGCCATGCCCAGAGGCTGGGGTTTGGGGCCAGTGGGGAGCAGAGCAGGTACTCTGCCCAGGACACTGGTCCCAACCTAGGTCTGCTGGCAATGGGCTGCAGTCTTGTCGCTCCCGCCCTGTCCTCATCCTCCCCCAGAGTCTCAGTAACCTCAGAACCAGGGCCCTGGAGGCAGGTGGGGAGGGCCACAACCTGGTTTGGGGCAAAGCAGAACAGGCTGGAAGGGCCTGACAACATGGCCAGCAGCTTCAGATGGCAGTAGGAGGAGGTAGGCGGTCCTTGGGGGTGAGGCGCCTCAGCAGGACCCCTGGAAAGCAATCAGGCTGTGGGTTGGGCTGAGTGTGTTCAAAACCAGACACCCGGACACCACGCATAACGGAGTCAAACTGGGTGCCAACGTTTCCCTGGTGGCACTCTTCTCACAGCAGCAGGTTGCCAGGCCTTTCTTCCTTGGTACGGCTGGGAGAGTGTACAACGACAACCTTTAAGAGAGGTGGCAAGCACAAGCCCTTGGCTTCATATTACACCACAGCAATCAGGGCTGTGACGGGGTAGAGGCGCGGGGACACCCGAGGGGTGGCGACAGAGGAGTGTGGCAGAAACCACATGCTGCTCCCTCTTAACCTCCCAGCTGAGGAAGTAGAGAACTCAAGGAAGAAACAGGTTGATTTTCCAGTGAAAACGTCAGAGGCCAGCTCTCTGGCTCCCAGGAGGCGGCCGGAAGCCCCCTCGGTGTCCTCCCCACGCACACAGCTCCTCGCCTGCCTCTCCCTGGTTCTCTCCATTCCCCCGCGGGACGAGCCCCGGGTCCCTCCCTCGCTCACAGTCCACTCTACAGTGCGGTACCTACCTGGGCCAGTTCAGAACCGCTCAGGTGGCCGCTCTCATCTGCATCCAAGTCCTTAAACAGAGACTCCACCAGGAGGCGCTTCTGGGGAAGTGGGTCTTGGTTGCTGCCTCCTTTCGGGAGAGGTTTCCGGTGGGTCTGGAGCGCCAGGAGGACCTTCTTCAGGTGGGCGTACGCGGCCATGGTGCATGGGTCACCTGTGAGAGACGAAGAGGTTACTGCCGGGAGGCAATGAGGCAGATCTCTCCGTCTCAGAGGTCGTCCCCTCCACCTGTCCGTCCATCCGTCTCACCCACAAATCGGTCTGGGCATTTGCTGTGTGCATGCACAGTGCAGCTGGCCGGGCCTGTCTCTCCGTCTTTCCACCCATTCATTGCACAGGTCCTTACGGGGTGCCTACTACGTGTCCGACTCCAGCAAGTACCAGATGGAACGGGGACACGACCAAGGGAATTCCTGGCTGCACGGCCAGCCCCCATTCCATTTTCTAACAGCAAGTGTAGCTTGTATTCGCCTTAATCCCACCTTAAAGGCTGCCTTTGAATTCTTGGCCTCACAGATTAGGGAGTCTGAGTTAACAGCACTAATCAGCCTGCTTAAATTAATTAAATACACTCCCAGAGCTGGATTACTTCAAAACAAACGTGTGTGTAGGCCTATGGCCGAGAAGCAAAAGGCAGCTTTACAGCAAGGAAGGCAAAGCCCGCAGCCCATCGCTCTGAGGCCTTTTATCACAGGCGTGCGTGCTCAACGGTGTCAGAGCCGCCCGGCGTTTTGGCAAATGGGGTCTGTGAGGTGCTGTGACATGACACACTTCATCTTGCTGGTGACAGGTCACTGGGAGGAACACCCCACAGGGCAGGGCCTGTAAAGAGGGGCCACGGGGATGTCAGCAGAGCAGGGACCTTCCAGCCCCTCTCCTGACTTCCCTGGGGGAGAGCGCTGTTGTGCTGGCTTTGATAAGCCCTGGAGAAGGGCAGTGAGTCCTATGGAAAGGGGTCTGAGGGGCTTGCCCCTTGATCCCTGGGCCCATTCAGGGCACCGGGGGACAGGCGCTGGCTGGAGAGTGAGCGCAGAGAGCAATGAGGAAGAGGGCGGGCGCCAGAGTCCGGCTCTGCGGCTGCTGGGCTGGGGAGCCATGGACACTTTGCCTCCGTGCCTTCATCTGTGAAGTGGGGGCACTCATGACACTTCCCACACAGGGCTGTGGTGAGGATGACGAAAGACAGGTGCATACGGTCTTAGCACCGTGGCACCAGCGGGGCACTAAATGTTGGTGTTGAGTCCATTTCAACCCAAAATTGCCCCTGTGGGTGGGGCGGAGGGGAACTGCCTGTGGGGTTCCCTTGGGAGGAACTTCCAAATGAATTCTAGTTGGCTTGATGCCACTCCACATCGGGCACAACAACAACCCTCATGGGTGCGGGACTGCCAGTCTTTCCCGCGGAGTCGCTTGGTGGGTTTGCGCTGTCAGTCTTTCCGTCAGCAGCCACGCGCTTAACTGCTGTGCTACCAGGGCTCTTCAGCGC